CGTGTTCTACGGAGCTTAGACTTAGATTCTACAATTCTAGGCTTATTTTCCTTTATTTTCTCTACTATTCACCCGTATTCCCCTCTTCTCTCTTCCCGCTTTTCTCTCAACTGCATTGTAATTACCATCAATTATAGTGAAAGCATACCGAACACTCTACAATGGACGTATTATGGGTTATTAAGAGAACTAGTATAAATCTCTTGTGTCTCTATCTTTTATTTACTTTTTCTCTCATTTATTGTCTACTGCACGATACTAACTCTCTGCTTAGTCCGGATTCAGTCACTGGCCTCGTACAAATTCGACTGTAGATTTTACCCTCTACAGAAACTTAACCATAACATCCTGAAGAAAAGCACAAGTAATATAACGACAACTACTGAAAATGAACATAATTTCTAGAAAACATCAAGTAAACGAGAAATGAAGAAAATAGAAACTTGAAGAGGAAAATAGTAAACGAGAAATGAAGTAAGAAAATAAAAGCTTGAAAAGGAAAATTTCAGTAGTTATCGTTATATTACTTGTGCCTTTTTTCGGGATGTTATGGTTAAAGTTTTGTAGAGGGTAAAATCTACATTAAGAAAATATAAATCTCTTGTATCTCTATCTCTTATTTATTTTTTCTGTATTTATTATCTGCTACGTGATATTAACTCTCTGCTTAATTCTGATTTGGTCATTATGCTCGTACAAATTTGACTTTAGATTTTATCCTTCCCAAAAACTTAACCATAACAATAACATCCTGAAAAAAGGCACAAGTAATATAACAACAACTACTGAAAATGAACATAATTTCTAGAAAACAGCAAGCAAATGAGAAATGAAGTAAGAAAATAGAAACTTAGAAGAGGAAAATTTCATCATTTCCAATCAATTACGATGATAGAATCATAAATTCAACTATGAAAAAAAAAAAACCTAAAAGTAATCATTAAGAAAATAATAATAATAAAAAATCATCACTTCCAATTCGATTCTTACATTCGCCAAAAGACAAAATCAGTAATCAACCATTAACTAAAATTAAACTACGCAAGAAATTGATTATCAAATTTAGCAAGACGATTTACCTCTTCGAGTTGAATAGATAGAAAATCCTCTTCGAGTTGAATAAATGGAAAATCAACGAATCCTTAACACTACACAAAATAAAATAAAGATTGTACGAATATTGCAAAAAAAGAAACGATCGAACGTGCATTTTCAATCAAGAGATTAGGATTCGGAGCCAAAAAAAAAAAATCAAGAAAATATGGTGTCAAAAATTACCAAGAAACGTGGGTTCGTTTAGTACGAGAGTTCAAATTAGAGTTATTCTAATTTTAATTTTAGACCAAAAACTATGATTCATAATTTTGGGTCCAAACCATGTTTCTGAAACCAAAACTAGAATCATGAGTTTGAACCACCAAAGGGGGTGAGTGATTTTAGAATTAAGGTAATTCATGGTTTAAAACATCACATCAGGGTTCAAATCTTGAATCAGAATCATCCAAACCAAACACTAACCCTGAGTGAGTCAAATCAGAACCACTTTTATTTTTTATAAACAAACACTGGTTTGAACCCGGAATCATGATTCCGAGTTCAGAATCCTTATACCAAATAGCCACGCAGAGTAAAAACCCCCAAACTTTCTCGAGAAGACTGTACGGTCTCAACTTGTGAGGAAACTGAGAGCGAAGAGCGAGGAAAATGTTAGCCGTGTTTGGAATTGATCATATTTTTATTTTTCACATTTTTCAAGAAATAAAAAATGAAAACGTTTTTAAAACGGCGATTTGCGCAATAAAGACAAAAAGCATAAATGAAAACGATTTTTTGGTTTAGTGTAAAATGAGAGAGAAATAAAAAATAACTTTTAATCGTTTTTTATTTTTTTATTTTCGTTTTCTCTTCTCTCGAGCTGAGAATCTCAACATCATCGGAAACGTTTATAGAATTGTCCTCATTGTAAAAATTCATTTGTTGATTAAAATTTTGAAAGAAAAAAAAATATTTTAAAAAAGTATTTTGGAAAGATGAATTTAAAAAAAAAGGTTATGCTCTACGACTATAACAATTTTAAATTTTTTTTTAAATTAGTTAATAAATAAATTTTTATAATAAGAGTAATTTTATCTTTTTGTGTTTCAAAAAATGACTCTAATGTATAAAAAAATATTTTCTACCGATATAAAATTTTAAAAAATATAAGATATTAAACTCAAATTTTGATATATCAAAAAATATCAAAATGAAATATTTTTTTAAAAAAAATATTAATTTATAAGAGATAAAAATTTAAATTCAAGATTGTATTTGTTTCTTTTTTCTTCGAGAGTCGAAAAGTCGGCTGCACGCGGAAATAGTCAACAAACCATCACCTTACACTTTTTCTATATCAAAACAAAAATATACCATCGTGGAAAATGACATGTAAAAGGAAAAATTATGCAATTATTTTTCAACAATGCTATAATGAAAGTCCGACACGCTCACAATAAATATTTTTTTGGTTTGTGTTTGAATGTGGCTCATGAGACCGTTCATCCATTTCTTTAACTTCTTCCATTGAGATGGCATATCAAAAGAAGTGTCTGAAACAGACCAACCATTTAAATTTTAAATATTAGAATTAAAAATTATTGAGTTGAATGTATAAATTAAACGAGTCTTAAATTAAATCTGTAAGGTTCAAAATTGACCAAATTTTGTTTTTATTAGCTCCAATTTATACTTTGAGGGTTATGTTTAACTCACATCAATCGGTCCCAATCTCATTCAGTTAGTTTTAGTTGGGTGTCTTTTATCGGGTGGTTTGATGAGAATTTGAAAATTCTATGAAAATGTTTTACTTGGGTTAGGTGGTGAGGTAAAAAACCGAAATGGCCAAAACCAAAAATCACCCTATTTCCGTTTTCTAAATTATATCAAGCTTGTTGTATTAAGAAAGATATTTTTTTGCACATATAAGTGCATGTCACGATAATGTATTGATGTTATTGCGAATTAAAGAGAATATCTATAAAACTGGATCGTGTAAAGGTTTTTTCATCCCCCAAACATATCAATTTTGTGACCAAAATATTTGCTCCATAAAATCTATGATTTAATACTAACGAATCAAAAAGAAAGAAACAGTATGGCACTGATTTTTTGACCACCTCACATGTCATACCAAGAGAGTTCTAAACAAGCATAAGGAATTTTTTTTTTTTTTTTTTTTTTTTTTTTTTTTTTTTTTTTGGGGCACAATTTTTTTTTTTTTTTTTTTTTTTTTTTTTTTTCATGAGGCACAACAGAAAGGAAGGTTATGAGCTATGATGATCCTATATGCAACATTATAATAGTTTCAACCAAAAAAAAAAATTATAACAGTAAGCAATAAACGACAAATCATTGGATAAAAGGACAGAGGAGAAAGACACTTTTCCACCACCGCAAATTCCAATAAAGAATGTTATTAATGCCCATATGTGTTCATGCAATAGTACATTATTGTAGAAGCCCATAAAAAAAGTTTATAACCAAACCCAACAAATAATAAAGGGAAAACAAAAGGATATGTTCAAAAAATATTTTTAAATTATATTTATGGTAAATTCTCTCGTTTTGTTAAATTATGAAATATCCATTTTTCTAAAAGAAAAAACAATATATCATTTGGTAGTAAATCACCGACGGACCAAATATTAACTATTTAAAATCAAAATTTTCAATTTTTAAATTGAGATTAAACAATCAATAAATAATATTGATTATTAACCTACATCATTGATTGGTTTATTGAGTAATTACATTGATTGGTTTTTTCTCTCTTCTCTCTTTCTTTCTTTATCTACCTCATCGTCACCTCTTCTCCAGTCCTCAGTGTCGTCATAGTTTCACCGTGCTCCGCCCGTCGTAGAGACCATGGTGCAATGCTGCTGATGCCACAAGCATCCTTAAAATTTAAAACTATTATTTAAAAATTTAAACAATTAAACATATTTATTTCAAATGCAAGAATTAATGAATTATGTGATTTAAATTACACATACATTGGTAAACCAATGATTTAAAATTTAATCAAGCCTTATCAAAATTATTTTTTAAAGTCATTTTTTAATTTAATAAAAGTTTAGTTGCGAATAAAATGACTGAATGAGCCGTATTTAAAAAAAAAAAAACTAATGAGTGATCATCTTTATATTTTCTTCTCTTTCAAATTAAAACTAGCAACCTCACTCAAAATAGATTTTGAAAAAGGTTACCCACTAAAATTTTAGGAAGAATGATAAAATCAATATCACTTACACAAGTTATCTTCGAACTTTAATTTTGATACATTGCTTCTAAAGTTAAATATTGAAGGGTATCTCCAAACTAATAACCACTATTAAAATTTCGATAGAACAACGTTGTGTAAGTTACATAGATTTGAATGAAATATAAAAAATTTCGAACAACAATCAAAACATGTCATATGACATGAATGATTCATCTATTAAAGGTACTCTAATATATTTTATTAAATTATTTTATTAGATTATTTTATTAAATTAAGAGAGCGGTCTCCTTAATTTCACTAATTTGGGTTTAAAATTTGAGTTTTATTATAGTAAAAAATTCTCATATACAATCACATTTAATTTTTTTATTATAATAAAAAAATTCTCACATAAAATCACATTTTAACTCAAATTAAAAACTCAAAGAGACTTATCACATTTAAAACTAAGGGATAACTTACTAATTTAAGAGGATTCGTTATCTGATTCATGATTCGTTATAATATTTTTTTTTCATAAAAAATATATATAAATAAAAAATAATTTTAATCTTATAATTATAATATATAAACTAAACGAGCTCTAGTCAAGTTCAAGACCAAGTGCAAAAAACGAAGAACGCTCCCTCTCTCTCTCTCTAACATCAAAATATATTTTTTTGAGCTAAAAAAACTCAAATGCTAATCTAATCTGAAGTTACATGTAAGCTGATATATTGCTGTTTGAAAACGACCCTCCACTACCACGTTCTTTATAATTTATCTCTTTCAGTCTCTCTCTCTGATTGGAATCTTCACCAGTTGTAATCATCCTTTTGCAGATAAGATTGGTTGTTGAGCCCATTTTTTCTTTCTTTTTTTTCTGAAGATTACAGGTAAGCAAAAGCTCTTGGGTTTTTCTCTGTTATATTAATATTCCCACAACGCCACATGATTTAACCACATGATTTAATTGCTCAAGGCTTTGCTTTTCAAGATAACTTCTTTTTGGGTCTCTGACATATCTCTTCCGCTCGATTTGATTCTGATCGGCCTTCAGTTTTCAGGTGCTTTGGCTCAAAACCCAGTTCGGAATTTAGGTTCTTTTTGCCTTACAAAGTTACTTCTTTTGTCTAGGCTCTAATTTGCTTTTTTTTTTTTTTTTTTCCTTTTATCTGTGATTTGGAAACATGTTATTCTCATGTTTATATGTGATCTTCATGTGGTTTTAGGCCATTAGATACTAGAGTTTTTATTATATGTTCTTTTTTTTCCTTCTTTCTAAATGTTTTTTTTAAGCAAAGTCCTATAAAGTCACAATCATACCTATCTGAAAGTAGTATAGCGTACCATCTGGTTTCACTGGAATTTGATAGGTTGATTAATTCTTATGTAAAGTTATTGCTTTATTGTTCAAAATTCTGTCTTGGGACTCTTGTAGCTTTTGCTGATCTAATTGCTTATTTCTAGTGAAGTTTAAGGATAATTACTATGAGCACGATTTTCAGGAAAAACTTTTGCTTAATCTGTTCGAACTTTGAAGCACCAACTATTTTTGGATAAAGGGTTTCTGCATAATCATTGAACACAATAAGCTTTTTAAACTTTATCTTATCCATTTACTTAAAGTGTTTCTACGTTTACATATGTGGGATAGTACTTTGGCGTCGGATAAGGACTTCTTATAGCTGTTCTTTATGTCTATTATGAATGATTAGTTGTTTTTATATTTGTTAAACTGGCTTTCTATTGTTTGATGCAGGTACAAAGATATTAGTTTGACTTTTGAGGCTATAAAGCATTTTTCCAGTTTTATCTCAATATATATATAGTAAATGGGGTCTGAAGGGCCTCCTTCAGTAACAATTCATGTGACGGGGTTTAAGAAGTTCCATGGAGTTCCAGAGAACCCGACAGAGACAATTGTCAATAACCTCAAAAATTACATGAATAAAAAGGGTTTTCCTAAAGGTCTAATTATTGGGAGTTGCAGCATTCTTGAGACTGCAGGACAAGGAGCACTTGATGTCCTAAACAACACACTGCAATCTTCCATCAAGGGTCCCGAATCTTCCAATTCCGGGAGAATTATTTGGGTCAGTTTTTTTCCTTGTTTACTTCTCTTTATGCAAATGTTAAAAATTTACTATTTCCTGAATGCCACTGTTTTTCTTCGTCTCTCCAATTGTTTCAAAGGAAAATATTAACTAGTAGATAGTTCTATTGGGATCAGTACCTTTGCTTAGAAATCATAATGGCTATCAGAAAAGTAAATGGTTAATATACATTGAGAAACCTTCTCTTGTTGTGAATACTTGTTTAATAAAGTATTGTTTGTTTTTAGCAAAGTTTACAATGTGTTGTACAAATAAAGAGGTCTTTCTATTTTGGTAGAAATTTAGAAAGATGAAATTCACAGATTGAGAAAAGTGGCTGTTAGAGTCCAAACCATGGTTGTGTACCATTGATTATAATTTTTCCCGGATTTTTTTTCGGACTCTTATTCTCTTACCAAAGCTGGTTCTAAGGGATGCTACCTCAATGACTACTTCTCTGTATAATTATACTCGTTGTATTTTTGTGCATAGTTGTTATTTTTTTCAACCACTCTAAATTCTGATCCGCTCTAATTTCTGGTTAATTATATTTCTTCAGCTACATTTTGGAGTTAATAGTGGTGCAACAAGGTTTGCTCTTGAGCATCAAGCTGTCAATGAAGCTACTTTCCGTTGCCCCGATGAGATGGGATGGAAACCTCAGGTCAGTTGTGGATCCTCAAGGTTTTTCTTTTGCTTCGCCTATACTGCATGCGAATTTCAGGTTACTTGACCAATAGTCTTCTCATAAATGTTTTAACTTTCTGCAGAAAGTTCCAATAATTCCTGCAGATGGTGGAGTTTCGCACAAAAGAGAGGTAGATTGACTAGTCATCTATATAATAGTTGGCGTAACTTCAACATTATGTTAACTCTGTCACCTTTGTATTAAAGTTGCCGATACTCCAAAAATTACTTTGCTGTTGAATAGAAAATGCAAAGATGCTGCCACTTTTGCGCATATATTTTATAGAAATATTTGGCATGGATATTCCATAGTTAATGTGGTGCAAAATGATTAAAAAACACGGATGTTATGATGTTATACTTGCTCTTTACTGTGATTTTGAGTCGTAGTGATTTTGGATCTAAAGCTTAAGAGGATCTCTTGTTTTCTAATTGTACACAGACTACTCTTCCTGTTGAGGAGATAACCAAGGCTTTGGCAGCTAAGGGTTATGAGGTGATGACCTCGGATGATGCAGGACGTTTCGTCTGCAACTACGTTTACTACCACTCGCTTCGCTTTTCTCAGGAGAACGAAACTAAATCGCTCTTTGTGCATGTTCCTCTCTTCTCGACTATAAATGAAGGGACCCAAATGCAATTCGCAGCTTCCTTGTTAGAGGTACTTGCTACGTTATATTAGCAAATGCAGCCACAGTCCTTATTGCCAGGTTTGTAAAGGTGGAGGAAAGCTTGGTAACTGAAATGCTTGAATAAGAATGAGATTAAGTGGTCTCCAAGGGAAAATGCATCAATGAACTTCCATCTGTTATATTTTCGTAAATGTTATTACAAGATTTCGGCAACTCGCCGAGTTTGCTTTATAGAGCTTGATCAGATCTGAGTGTCTTTGTTTGATTTCGTTCTCGATATTGGACTGTCTTCAGTTTATAAGTTAAAACCGATAAGATAAGTGATTGTTGCACCACAAGTAGACCAGTAGTGGGAGGGAATGGAGGAGTATAATTTGTTACTTCAGCCGATGATGCGATGCCTTTTATCTTTTGTTTCTTAGACTTATGGTAGAGTTTGTCTTTTGTTTCTTAGACTTATGGTAAGAGTGATAAAACGTCCATTTGAACCAATTAATCTCGGTCAAGTTTCATTAAATTGTAATACTTTAAAAAAAAAAAAAAAATTTATTCTGACGGTTCATAATTATGTCTTACCGATAACGTATTTTTTTCATTACTTTAACACAGAATTCTCGTCAGAAGTCCTAAAAGGCCAATTGGCAGAGTTATTATCCTATCAATTGCACGGACTCTTAAGTTGTTCTTCAGTTGTCTCCGAGTGTTTTCTACCTTGATAGTACCAACAACCTTGTGGGTGTCTAGAAAGGAAATTTTAGGATAAAAAACCCGCAAGACAAATTAAAAGAAAATCTAGTAGCAAATAACTAATGGATTGGGGGTTCTTAGAACAATTCAAAACCTTCAAATAGTACAAACGATTAACCATTTAATATAGTGACTTGGCATTACTTTTAGCCTTTCCTCATGAAAAATACACTGTTTTTTTTTTTTTTTTTTAACTCTTATTAAACTACAAGTTCTTCCTTTCCTCTCATTCATACACAAATCAGGGTTAACAAAACATTCTTCTGTGTAAAAATAAACTAACAAAACAATCAACAAATCATCTCATGATCAGCATCTTGTTCACTCATATTTTCCGGGATGTCCTTTCAACAAGCAATGAACTGGTGGCGTGGTAAAGCTTTGCAGACTTCCATAAGCTTTCCAACAAAAGGGTTTCAATACCTTCTTAGTCTTCCTATTTCCTCTATCAGAAGGAACCAACTTCACTTCCGAGAGCGTAATGTTCATGCACGGCATTGAATCACTGCAGGCGAGATGCATTGGCGGCCTGTTTGTCTCGTAAGTGCCAATGATGTTTCTGTACATGATGTTGGAAATCATCAGCGCCGATGTTTGGTTATGGCATTTTTCAGTGAGGCAGTAGTACTGGTTGATGATTATCGGGTTCTGAACTGTGTCCATTCGAATGTTGTCGAAGGTCACTTGAGACACAGAACCAGACCCTCCTTGCCATGTTTTGATCCTAACACCATTATCTGAGTACTATATGATTGAGTCACTGACTGTGATGTTTGAAACACAGTCGCGAGATTTATCCCTTCCAAGACTTCCAATGCTGCTCAAATGCCAATGAAAATGTCTTAGAACTTCACATATGAACTTGTATATCTATATTACATATGAGTAATTATAAATAATAAAAAAAAGAAAATAATAATAATAATAAACCATGTGTTTTATTGAAGTTCTGCATTCCACCTTGCATTTTCAAGTATTCTCTACCTATCTCCTCCATTTTACAAAACAATGCTAAAAACGTCCTTAGAAGTGATGTTAGGTTTTTAACACGATTTGTAAGGCGTAAATTTAACATCTTATACAAGGGATAGGTGCAACATTCTAAAAAAAAAAAAAAAAAACAAAACAAAACAAAAAAGAGTTTAAAGTAGAACAAATATTTCAAAAAAAACACGATTCTACCTTATTACATCTCCAAGTGTGACTCAACCTAACATCAGTGATGTTCAACACTATTAGAGTCTTTTCTAGTCGAAAAATAACTATTAGAGTCTTTTCTAGTCGAAAAATAAAATAAAATAAAGTAAAATAAAACGAGACAAAATAAAAAGGTTACTTATAGTTTCTTTCGCTCCAGATTAATCTTTTGGATTTAAGTAAAATGCTAACTTGGCTGCAACTCTCTCTCTAGTCAAGCTTAAAATATTTGGAACTCTATCGCATAAGAAAAATCTTTTAACACCATTAGGTCATGGCCCCATCGCTCTCACATAATAGTGGAGGCTTACCTGTAGGGTTCATGTAGACCCCACCAATAAGTAATTGAGCCACAACCACGTCAGTATTAGTACGCTCATTACACGATGCTCTTGTGTCAAAGTGTACCAGTACTTCTATTTACCTTATTCCATGACTAGGACCACATGTGGCATGCTTTATATCCACATCATGAGAGCCAGTTCCGATGGAGATACAATCATCTCCTGCATTTTATACAAAAACATTAAACATTACAACAAGAACACTATTAAACTTCGCAGAAAAAAAAAAAAACACTATTGATCTCTCTAAACCTGGAAGATTGTAAGATAAGTTTAAGATTTCAGATTTGTTACCAGTAGAAATTGTAGAATGATATATCTTCACATTGTTTGTGTTGGCCAAGTGAATTCCATCTGTGTTGGGACTATCAGCTGGTGAACTAATGGTAAGAAATTCCACATGAATGTCTTCACAATGATCCAAGATTATGTGAAACTTGGGGCTGTTTTATTGTTAGTCCTCGCATTGTGAGCTTGGAGTTTGATGCGAAGTTAATGGCCTGTATTACACAGCCACAAAACTCATTACAAGATAAATATATGAACAAGATATATTCTTGCTATATAAACATGCAAATCAAAGTTTTTGTTTTTGGAACTTACTGTTGGGCTGTCACAATGACTTCCTTCCTGTTCCATTAATAGATAAAGAATCCAATGTCAGAAATAAACTTGGCATATAAAGTTTCCGTATATGTGCATAGGGAGAACTCGGTCATACTTTATGAAAAAAAAAAAAAAAAAAAAAACCCCTATTGGTAGGATACAGTTCTAATCATCTAATTTTTATTAAGTTATGTTAAATTATCACACTCGGTTAAAAACTATATCCTTTTTTTTCACTCTACCACAGAATTCTCCGTGTGATGTATGAAGTTAAGAAATGAATTTTGAAAAATTCTATGTTAGGATATAGAAATATACTCTATTGGTAAGATACAGTTCCTAAACTGTTACATTATATCAAAATTATATCAGAAATTAGATAATTTAACCGAATTTGATAAAAATCTAACGATCAAAATCTATATGCTATACGTAGAGTATCTTATAATGATCTACTAAAGAAAAAGGGGGCTTACGTTTACATGTTTGCTGGGAAGATTCCACCATTTTTCTCCTTTTCCATCAATAACGCCGCTTCCTTGCATTGTCATTCCATGGATTGTCTTGAAAACAAGCCATTCTAGCTTGCTATCTTCGGCCGACCATTTCGTGGGCCCATCAGGAGCCACAATAGTTCCATCAATCTTTTTCATTCCGAAGTAAAGCATGATTAGTTTTGTTTTTGATAAAACACAGAGAAGAAAAGAACACACATAGCCCGCAGACAGATCAACCACAAAGATCATTAAGATAAAGTGACACTGTAGCCCATAAATGAACCCTAATAAGTGATCTAAGAAACGGGAAGGGAACTTGTGGCTACTTAAATCCCACAAGCATCATCAGTTTTGTTCCTTAAACACCAAAACCTAACTCAAATAGATGTAACATAGAAATTTACTACATTTTAGTTCACCTGAAATAAAATGTCATTTTTACAAGGCCCTTCAAAAGTGGTGGAACGTATCATGAAGGAATGCACTTGAGGAACAAGAAGAGTTGCTAAACTTTCAGCTCGGCAAGCAGCATCCCAGGCCTACTTGAATGCTTGCGTGTCGTCGGAGATGCCATCCCCGGCAGCACCGAATGACATCACATTCAAAACCAATGTAGTACTAGTTGCCTTACTCCTATTCTCACCAGATTTTGAAGTAGGAGAAGGTGGCGAGGCTTTTCTTTTCCGGGATACTAAGTGAAGGTGTTGTTTCTGCTTTACTTTCGTAGAACTATGATGTCTATATTGAATGAAAACTAGGATGAACAAGAGAGAAACGACAAGAAATGTAAAGAAAGCACGAGAAAATTTCGTGGTTTTTCTTGGTATTGATGAATGTAGCTATTCATGTGCTTAATTTTTCTAATGCGGCCTTTTATTTTCACTGCGTGTAAGCAAAGGAAACTTAAAACTTTGCTTATTTATAGAAAATTTTTGTAGGGTACAAAATGCAGCAGCTCTTTTCACTAGCTCTATTGCCTTTCATGTTCAACAAGTGGATTGTTATTCGTCTCTATAATCAGGCGAAAGGACTCGGATTTTCGCAGTTATTAATCCTTATTAAGCTTTGTTTTCTATAGGTTAAAAGAAGCTTATGGCATATGAGATCTTATTTTTTTATTAACCACGTAGGACTTGAGCATTGTCCATTTTATTCTTGAATTGCATTTCTGTTGCTACTTAAGACTTTGTTCTGAACTAGAGACATGTATCAACGAGTGTCCTTTTGACTTGTTGAAAGAACCATGACTTACATGCACGAATGACATGTAAAGAACCATTAATTTTCCTTTCTAAGACGAAAATCAACTGGGAACGAAGTTTTGATTGATCAATCAATATATATAGAAAGTACCAAAGTGGATTTCTATTTTCATGGTAATTGGTAAGAAGATGCCATAAAAATTGTTAGTGCTACAAACGCGTTGCTTGGGTTCCTCTGAATCAAGTAGTAGTACTGCTCAAGTGTGGGTTCCATTTACGGTTTGCCATACATAAATGGAAAAGGAAAAAGAAGAATGTTCCTCTTTTCTATCTATTCATATGTCTAAGACTAAGGTGACATTTTTAAATAAAGTGCTAAATTTAATTGGGGGACAAAAAAGGAGACGGAAATAAAGAACAAGAGTCCAAGTCTTGATTATTGCATTATGCATAATAAAATTCTATCCCTAAATTCTGTAATGAGTAGAAAGTTGAAAGTAAATTGGATTATTTGTTGCTTCACATCCTATTAGAAAGAGAATCAAATTACCTACATTTTAATTTTTTACTTTTCTTTACAAACCAATTACCTTTCACATTACATTCTATTTGGGGATTGATTGGTATTTGAAATTTGAAATCATCAGTTATGACCTCACAGTGAAACGGCCTGCCTTAAACAAAGTTTTCAAAGAGTAACTGTAGTGGCCGGCAGGTGAGTGGACCAAGTAATTAATTACCCACTTTTACTCCCAACCACTACAAATCTCTTTTTCCACCCCTTTTTCTTTTTTCTTTTTATTTTCCTTCAAAGAGCAAGAAAATAAGGTAGCTGGTGACAATTGGAACTTGAAGGTCGCAAGTTGAAGAATGCAGTTCAATTTTCCTTCAAAGAGCAAGAAAATAAGGCAGCTGGTGACAATTGGAACTTGAAGGTCGCAAGTTGAAGAATGCAGTTCAAACTAGGAAGCAGCTACTCACCCCTAATCCTATGGTATGGTCTTAACGCTTCAACCGGCACAAAAGTACGCTAAATACTGTTTGGTTTCTGAGAAAATGTAAGAAACTGAATTGGGGAAGAAGAGAAGGGAAAGGAGAATTGTTTGAGGGGAACCATCAGCCTCTCACCACTATGTATTACAAGTATCACAGCTAATGATCATCACCACTGATCTTTTGATTAATCATTATGAACTCTCAGAACAAAAAGTTATTATACAGAAGCATACAATTTCACATAGAAATTTCTAATGGTTGCAAAACCAACAGAAATCTTGCTAGCCAAAGCTGAATTAGAAGTTGGTTTAAGCCCTGGAATGCTATTATCTATCAGGACTATAGTGGGTCATATATACCGCTCACATGTCAAATCATACTCTTAGCAATGAAATAGAGCGGATGACCACATATTCTTCTCTTTGATTGCTTAACGCCACAAGGGATTTGCAAAGTTGCATGTCTAGCATGAGCAAAGTCCAAACTATACCCAAACAACTTTGACAAAAGTAAATAGTAAGAAGATCAAGCAAGCTTTCAAATTGTAGGAACTCGTATCAGTTTATGCAACAAATTCTCTTATAAGAATGACAGCATGTTTAGTAAATACAGAAGCTATAAAGCGTTTTTTTGTCTACTAATCTATGTCGATAAGATCAACGATAGGATTCGTATTAATATTACATTAGAAAACTGTTCTAAAATGAATAGGCCCCCTATCCCCAGTCCACAAAGGGAAGGCTCGGATATCCACCCTCTGGAGGAGGCTTTAGCGAGGGAGGTAGATTTCCCCACGACATTCCCATTCTATCTCCCGTCATATTATTACCTGCAAAAGAACAAACAAGGGGAAAAGACGAGCAAAATAATTAATGTGTCGATTTACCCATCTCTCTGATCAAAAGCACACGCAAGTCAACTAATAACCTTTACAGGAAATAGCAAGGTTATACATCATCAGCAATGATCCCATATGTTTTCAACCAATCATAAATTCACATGTTAGTTCTGAAATCTATAGTTTTTGAAGAGAAAAAAAATATTTTTTCTTATTCAACGATTGATAAAAGACTACTAGGATTTATAGGTAAGCATGACAATAATTCTGTCATTGAATCCCATAATCCTAGCAATAGATAAATCTCTTAACTTAAGAGATAGACACTAAGGCCTCGATCGTTTCGCTGATTCGAGTTTAGAATTCGAGTTTTGCTACAGTAAAAAGCTCTCACAAACAATCACATCTAACTTTTTTGCTACAGTAAAAAGCTCTCACATACAATCACATCTCAACTCAAATTCTAAACTCGAATCAGTGAAACGAACGAGGCCTAACTAAATCAAATAGACATTTCGGATATCTCCTCATCTCTTTATTTAAAAAACAAATAATCAACCTAACTAGATAACAATAACCGGAAGTTATCCTAATTTAAATTTCCTAATTTGACACCCCCTCAAGCTGGTGCATAGATATCCATCATGCCCAGCTTAGTAATGAGAAACTCATAGTTGGTTCTGAACAATCCTTTGTAAGAATATCAGCTATTTGTTGTGATGTTGGAACAAACGGCATACAAATAGCCCCTGCTTCTATCTTCTCTTTTATGAAGTGCCTGTCAATTTCAACATGTTTTGTTCTATCATGATGCACCGGGTTATGCAATACTAATTGCAGCCTCGTTGTCACTATATAGCTTCATAGGCATCTCCATTGGTCTCTTTAATTCTTCAAGGATCTTTTTTAACCACAACATCCCACATACTCCATGAGCCATTGCCCGGTACTCAGCCTCTGCGCTTCTTCGTGCTACCATGTTTTGTTTCTTGCTTCTCCAAGTGACTAGATTTCCCCATACATAAGTACAGTACGCTAATGTAGATCTTCTGTCTGTAACTGAGCTTGCCCAATCTGCATCTGTGTATGCTTCAATCGTCCTCTACTCACTTTTCTTGAAGAAAAGTCCTTTCCCTGGAGTACTTTTTAAATATCTCAGAATTCGGTATATTGCCTCAAGGTGTTCTTCATATGGTGAGTGCATAAACTGACTTACCATACTAACTGGGAATGCAATATCCAGTCGGGTGTGAGATAGATAAATCAGTTTTCCCACCAACTTCTGGTACCGAGTTGTATTTACAGGATTTCCATCTTTGGTATCTCCTAGCTTCTGATTAGGATCCATTGGGGTATCAGCCGGTCTACACCCACTCATTTCGGTTTCTTTGAGAAGATCAAGAATGTATTTTCTCTGTGAGACAACAATACCCCTTTTTGAGCGAGCCACTTCCATTCCAAGGAAGTATCTTACAGAACCCCAAGTCTTTAATCTCAAACTCTGAGGCCAGACTTTCCTTCAACCGATTCATTTCAGTAACATTATCCCCAGTAAGAATAATATCGTCCACATACACTATCAAAACTGCAATCTTTCCATCATTAGAGTGCTTTATGAACATAATATGATCACTGTGAGCATGAACATAGCCCTGATTCTTTATGGATCGAGTGTATCGTTCGAACTAAGCTCTTGGAGATTGCTTGAGCCCGTAAAGTGATTTCTTTAGCTTACACACCTTGGATCCATATACACTTCCTTCTCCAACTCTCCATTGAGAAACGCATTCTTTACATCTAACTGTTGAAGCGGCCAGTCGAGGTTTGCTACAATTGAAAGAAGTACCCTCACAGTATTTAACCTTGCCACTGGAGCGAAGGTCTCGAGATAATCGATGCCATAGGTTTGAGTAAAACCTTTGGCAACCAACCGTGCCGTATACCTTTCGAGAGACCAACCGCGTCTTATACCTTTCGAGAGATCCATCTGAATTATACTTGATGGTGAACACCCATTTGCACCCCATTGTTGTCTTTCCTCTCGGCAGCTCTATCACCTCCCATGTATGATTTTTCTCAAGTGTCCTCATCTCTTCAGAAATAGCCTTCCTCCACTCAGGAACCTGTAAAGCCTCATGTACACTCTTTGGAATTTCCACATAAGAGATGTGAAGTAAATGCAAAAAACGGAGAAAGATTTTTTATAAGATACATAGTTAGACATGACATGTTTGGTACAAGACCGTACACCCTTGCGAGTAGCAATAGGAACATTAAGATCATCAAAGGACTCGGGACTAGGATTAGAGACAGACTGGACAAGTTGACACTAATCAGATTGATTGGTCTTGGATACTTGGATGAGTTAGGTTATTCCCTTATTTTGGACTCATGGCCTTGTAGAGGATCGGGACCTTGTTCCTTTGATCTTTGTTTCCTCCTCGAGTAAACCAAGAGTTATGGACTCTTAGTATTTATTTTGTCTCTATTCTCTGTGCTGCTGCAATTATGGTTTTCAATGTTTTAAACATCAATTTTCTCGCCCAAAGAATCAGCATTGTTTCCGCCAGAAGTTTCAGGTTGTAAATCTGAGTTTGTTGTAGCCTCAGTATTAGGGTGGACAAAATGATTTGAATCTGTTGATTCCATTTCAAACACATCATTAGCTTCAAATTCTCTTGCATTTTCCCTTGTATTCTCCCCCTGAAGATGAGTAGTAAAATATGGTTTGGCTTCGAAAAAAGTAACATCCATAGTGACAAACAATTTTTTTGAAATTGGATCAAAGCATTTATATCCTTTTTGAGTAGGAGCATATCCTACAAAAACACATTTTTTAGCCGTAGGATCAAGTTTGCCCCGGTAATGATCATGAATATGGACAAAGGCAGTGCACCCAAAAATCTTTAAAGGTAGTGTAGATGACAGCCTAGATGTAGGATAGCAACTTATGAGCACTTGTAAAGGAGTTTTGACTTTCAATATCCTAGTGGGCATCCTGTTTATGAGATAGGTAGCCGTGATAATAGCTTCACCCCAAAGGTATTTAGAAACTTTATTTGTGAAATGTAAGGCCCTAGCTACTTCCAAAAGATGTTTATTTTACGTTCAACAATTCTATTTTGTTGAGGGGTATCATTACAAGAGCTTTGGTGAACTATGCCTTTTTCTAAGAAAAATTTTCCCCAGACCTTGTTAAAATACTCTTCCATTATCACTATGAAAAAACTTGAATTTTTGTTTGAAATTGTGTCAACACCATGGTATAAAAATTTTTAAAGACTTCTTCCACATCTGATTTTTCTTTTAGTAAATAAACCCAACTTACTCTTGTGTGATCATCTATAAAGGTGACAAACCATTTTTTTCCAGAAAGTGTTGTGATTCGTGAAGGCCCTTAGACATCACTGTCTATTAATGAGAATGGTTTTGAAACTTTGTATGGCGGTGATGGAAATGAGGTACGATAATGTTTAGCTAACTCACAAAATTCACACTGAAATGAAGACAGATTTTTATTTCTAAACGAATTTGGAAACAAATATTTTAAATATTGAAAACTTGGATGGCCTAATCTATAATGCCACAACATTATTTCATCACTACTAGCAATAGAAATAGATTCAAGACAAGTACTATGTGCTGGCTTTCTAGACTCGGATCTGTCTTTCAAAGAAATAAAGTCCACCAATCTCTCTAGCATTGCCAATCGTCCTCCCCAAGGTTAGTTCCTGAAACTCACAATAAGAGAGATAGAAATTAGCTCGACACCCATGATCATGAATTTTTTTGCTTATGGACAGTAAGTTACAAGATAAATTGGGAATATGAAGAACATTATGAAGTGTGAGAAAAGGAGAGATTATAATTGATCCTGTCCCAGTTATGGCTGAAAGGGATCCGTCTGCAATTTTGATTTTTTTGTTTCCTGCACACGGTTTATAGGTAAAGAATAGTTTTGAAGAGCCAGTCATGTGATTTGTGGCTCCTGAGTCAATGATCCATGGGCATGACAAATTTGATTTTATAGTAGAAAGAGCTGCAATGAGAAAAGTACCCTTTTGAGCAAAATAACAAGAAGGATTTGAGAATTGTGGAGATTGAAAGAGTTTGTACAGGTGGTCTAGTTGTTCCTTTGTGAATTGGGGTATCTCTAAATTGATTTGTTGCCTCTGAGAATCTTCACTCATGGTCAGGAATGC